TAGGCCAGGGTTTCACTTTCAAAATTAATTCAGCTTCTGGGAGACCTGCAGAATGGCCTACATGAGTGCAGCACACTGGCTGGCTCCGTGGAAGACTACAGACACACCACAAGATGAAGATTAATTTCTCAAACTCTCTTTCACATTCAAACTTCATTTGACCCTTGGTCTGTAAAGTGCTTAACACGCAGAGATCCGTAAAAATTTCTTGAGAGGGTTAACAACAGACAGTATTTCTTCAGCTTTCCATCAGTACTGTTCTGGATGCTACAAATGCATAATATGTGTTTGATACAAGTGGTATAGGAGCAAAACCCCTCCCAGGAATACTCAGTAAACTTTATTGTACCTGCAGAGATGGAGACAACCTACTTTGAGAAGGTACAAAGCTGTCCCTTGGTACAAAACTATTTCCTGCAGCTGAAAGGATCAAACCCAAAGACCTAGCTACCCCTGACTGGACTCAGAAATTCATGAACGATCTCTACCCACTTCCTGGGGAAAAAAAAAACAAACTACTAGAAAAATTTTGTGCTAGCAGAATTGTCTCATATAACTACCATAGGACAAAACTAAGCAAATGGAAATGTAAGCGGAATATTGCAGCGGTGGTGGGAAAAGAACAAGTAGCTTCATTAGCAGTAAGGAGGCTTGCTTTCCTGAGAGCCTGGGTCTCAAGGCTGATCGTGAACTTCAGTGTTTGTGACAGCGAGACCTTCCTGGCAGCCACAGCATTTATAAGGTCCTTCCGTGACACTGGTTCTCTGGTATCTAATTAAAGACTCAATGCACTCTGTGGACACTCTTCCTTTCATGGGCACATAGTCTTTCTCTGGTATCTAATTAAAGACTCCATGCACTCCGTGGACACTCTTCCTTTCATGGGCACATAGTCTTTCACTTCCCTCTTCAAGAAACCACTAGGGCCATAATCCTCTTTGAGACCTATATTCCTCAAGCAGCGTGTCCAGCCAAGGGTTCAAAGCTTATTTGGGAGTTGGAGGGAGGCATGGGTGGAGACAGACACACAGAATGACTGCATAGATCTTGTTTCCATAGGATACTGGGGAAAAGACTTCCTAAAGTGAGAGCCAGGAAAGTCTGTTATTCTCAAAGGAAGACGCAAGCAACTCCTGTGTTTGACTCTTCTGCATTTGGACAGCACCACCTCTTAGACTTGAGGGAAGCCACTCCTGTCTATCCTAATCCATCTTTCCCCCCACCTCAGAGCTAATTGAAGCTCATGATCTCCTGTCCTCTCTGACAAATTAACTACCCTTTTCTTCCATTTCTCCTTTAGGAAACCAGAGGGAAAATTACAACTTTCCATGGAACAAAGAAGTCCTTTTTGCTCTACAGTCCTAATTTCCAAAAGCCTACCATGATTTACTGGGAAAAGCCAAGAGCTCCATCTTTGGGAGTCTGAATGGAGCTTCAAGGTCTGCCTGAGACATCTGGGTGCAAGGGAGGGAGAGTGGATCATGGAAAGGATGATGTTGCTTGAAGAAATGAAAATGAAAACGCGTTCACTTGGAAATATAAACACTTCTGTGCTCTCCAGTGGATGAGCTGTGTCTCTGTGTTTGGGAACTCCTTTGCAATTAAAGTACAAGGTTGCTTGGAGGAAAAAAGATCTGGAGGCAAATAAAGCTTTGAGTCCTACTAGATATGAAGTCCAGATAAAAGAAACAAATCAGAGCAGATGACAAACAAAGGAGGGCATAGTTTCAGCTATTGCTTTAACTCTTCCTAAATTCATGGTTAATTCAGCACTGTATCAGCCCTGGTCTAGTGAACCACCTGACACCTAGAGTGCTCCTGAGACCTGGTATCTGGTGGTCTCAGAGGCAGTTTTGTAAGCTGCCTGTAAATCCAAGCTGCCCTTGGGCCTCTTCTAGCAAGGAAGCTGTGCCATGTCAGCTTTGTAAACAGAGACAGGAGAAACAAAGGCTAGAAAACGTGCCAGGGACACATGGATTAGTAAATGCCTAAGTAGCCTCCACATCGACACACCTGAGGTTTCTTTTTGAGAGCACCAGCTGTTGCTTCAACCTCAGCCTGGAGGCAGGTCCTGCATGTGAGTTTCTGTGAATGAAGAGTGAGTTTAGCCCTGTCTTGCAGTGCTTTCTACATTATTTTTTACAGACTGATAGTGTCCCTTTTGAAGTCAAACAAGTACTGCAAACACTCTGAGGAGCAAGAAAGGAGACATAGCTAGGTAGACAGTTGGATAAAAGCAGAGGTAGAACTAAGAGGTAGGAGAGAAGCTGCTAACCAAACCAAAGCATACAGAGCTGCGCGTCTGGCTGTACCAGGCAGAAGTGCTTTATAATCCTCCATTTGCATCTACATTTTGTGCTGCCCCTCCCTCTGTCAGATGAACTGAGGATTTGGCAAGTTTATTTAGAAGTTTTCAGACTTGTCATTCTCTTTGTATTATTTGCAGTGGCCTTTCACACTGTTGAATGGCATTTTAAAAGCAGGATAATCCAGTTGGCATCGTGCTAAGAAGTAACAGCAGCAAATAAGAACAACAATAACAACAGCAGCAATCTGTTAAGCATCAGTAGCCACATTTGCTAGCAAATAAATCCCTGAAGCACTTCAAAAAGCAATCTATCTACTCTCAGCTGTCTACCTACCTTACAGATGTTACTCTGGGAAGAGTAACAGAGGGAAGAAAAACTCCACCAGGTAAACTGGCAAAAGACAGAACACTAAGTAAAGGCTGGGACTTGTGCTGCATGAAGAAAAAGAGGCCTGTTGGCCAGCGAGATTACTGGCCCTAAAATGTGAATTGCCTGGGTCTGTCAGATTCAAGCTACCTTGGTTTGCTGTTAATGAGATTTAATTCCTTGCCCTTCTCCCTTACCAATGATTTTTTTTAAAGTAGCTAGTTACATGCATATTTATCTACCTTCCAAAGAGGTGTTTCAACCAGTCCAGTGGTGGAAATTTAACATCTGCTTCAACCAAAGGAGCCAAGTGCACTTGGAGCATGGGGATGAGGGAAAATTTAAGCTGAGTATCAGGAGACATTTCCTATGGGTGAGGTCTTGTAGTCTGAAATATCCCCCCTGAGAAGTGGTGGAAGCCTCTATGTTATTTTAAAAACCAGACTGGAAAAAGCAGTGAAGGATAGATTCAAGTTAGCAGTCCTGCTTTGGCTGCGAGTACAGACCCAATGACCTAATAGGCTATCCCTCCTCGCCTCCCTCTGCCTGTTACCAGTCTGTGATAGCTTCCCTGCATAACAATGCAAATTCATCCTCCTCTGCTCACATTTTCAGGACAAGAGCTTCTGCCAAGAGTGCTGATGATTTTTGCCAATTTTGCTAATTCCTTACTGAACAGGGAGAGCAATAGCAGGACCCCTGCTTCAGGGGAATGTTCCCTCCAGTTCTGATGAGTGCTCACGATTGTACGTGGGGAAAGTGTTGGATACAGTTATCCCATCTGCATACACTGTGTTTCTGGGTGCAGCCCAATAAGGGGTGTGATGACAATTAATAATTAGATAAATTCATGTCCACAGACAGTCTCAGGCCACTAAATACTATCCAGATGCGGAACACCTCAAAGTTATGGGACTATTTGGATACGGGGTCTTGGATTGGAACTGTCCTTATACAGTGTACAATTTCAATGGTAGATAAGAGATGGACGACAGGTTGACCATGAGCCAGCAGCATGCCCTGGCTGCCAAGAAGGCCAATGGCATTCTGGGGTGCATTAGGAGGAGTGTGGGCAGCACTGCCCTAGTGAGGCCTCATCTGGAGTACTCTGTCCAGTTCTGGGCTCCCCACTTCAAGAAAGATGAGGAGCTACTGGAGAGAGTCCAGCGCAGGGCTGCGAGGATGAGGAGGGGACTGGAGCATCTCTGCTACGAGGAGAGGCTGAGGGAGCTGGGCTTGTTCAGCCTGGAGAAGAGAAGCCTGAGAGGGGACCTAATATATACTTACAAATATCTGAAGGGTGGGTGTCAGGAGGATGGGGCCAAGCTCTTTTCAGTGGTGCCCAGCGACAGGACAAGGGGCAATGGGCACAAACTGAAGCAGAGGAAGTTCCAGCTGAACATGAGGAAGAACTTCTTCCCTCTGAGGGTGACGGAGCCCTGGCCCAGGCTGCCCAGGGAGGTTTTGGAGTCTCCTTCTCTGGAGATATTCAAGACCCGCCTGGACAAGGTCCCCTACAGCCTACTGTAGGTGACCCTGCTTCGGCAGGAGGGGTGGACTAGATGACCCACAGAAGTCCCTTCCAACCCCTACCATTCTGTGATTCTGTGATTTCTAAAGCAACTAAGAATATATAGCACCCATGAGAAAATCCTAATATTTGTAGGCCCCCTTATAACTGAATTCTTGCTGTTGCAAAAGTTGTTCCTAGTCAGAACTGAACTTGAACCCATTACATATACTGAATGTTTTCTCCAAGCCTCTCTAACTTTGGAGAATTCACATCTGCAACAGATCTGCAGACCTGACTCCTCGGTTCAGAACTGATTTCCTACAGTGGCAAATAAACTCTGAAAATTAACTGACAGTCTCCCGAGGCTGTAACCCAACAGCGTGAACTGAAGGAAGAGGGGAGAAACTCAGCAGCATTGTCTGTGGGAAAGGACTCAGCTCTCAACTAATGATCTCAGGTAGTTGTACCCACATGGATTCTAGCTGCCTCAGGATCTATCCAGGGCTCTTTGTGCTAAAAATCAGTGTTTCTATCGACTCCTCAGTGGTTAGAGCATAGCTTTGTGCGCTGTGAACCCTTCTGACTGCAGCATGCAAAAAGCAACTGAGCCGCGTCTCTCAGCTGGATGAGGTCATTTCCATGAGCACACAGCCGGAGTGAAACATCCCCAGGACGGGATGAGTGTGTTTTACAAATGCTTTGCACTGATGCAAGATGACAATGCAGTGAATTTAAGAACAAAGGACCAGCTATATGGGATGGTGCTTACTGCATTCCGCACTCTGAACTGGAAACAGTTGAGACTCTAACCTGTCCCACTGTGGGAATGAATAACCTTTGTGGACACATGTTGAAGTCATTATAACACAATTGCAAATGACTTGTTGGTAGGCTATGTTTATTAGATGATAATCTTTACAGGGGAAACCAGAGAGGGCATTGGACCAAATTTTCAGAGGCTCACATTTCCGTATCCTCCGGAAACCACTCTTTCTCCCTTGCGCATCCTTGCCATTCCCATCACTGGATTTGAACCAGCTGCAAGATCAACGACTGAGGAAAGCCAAAACACGTGACTTGCCCAAATTCCTACAGGCACTGCTTGGAGCTGATCAGTAACAAGCTACAATGCAGGGAAACCCGGGTGTACTGCATTGCAATAACTTGGCTAATAGAATATGTCTGACTACATTGACTGCTACTGGGGAGGAAGAAAACAGGAGAATAAAACCTCTAATTTCCAGCAGTGAGGCACCTTCCCATTCCCCAGCAGGAAGTTTAAGGAGAGCTCTATGCACGAAAAGGTTTACTATGTATGTTACACACACCTGCTTTGCAGACTCCTTGCAGGCAAATTTCAAAATGAGAGCCAAGCTCCAGCAGTGCAAGGTTTGCACTTAGATATGAACTGGGACTTTTCAGTCTTTTTTGAGACTGATAACTACAGTGCTGTTACAAGTAGACCCAGACTGAATAGAGACAGGAAGGATATTAGCATTTCCCAAAAGAGTTAAACCTGAGAAATAGGAGTGTTGGATTATTTTATTTTCTTTTCACCCGAGTAGTTCTATAGCAGTTAAGCTGTCCTCCTTTCCTGAGGACAGCTTAATTTGTTCTGAATGCAAAAGATCAGCTTTCTGACATTGGAGTGCCCTCATAACATGTCCTGGATGATGCGACTAAATCTGTTTTGTGTGGTTTGTTTCTCTTAATCCATGAGAAGCATTCACATGTGCAATGAAGAGTTTTGCTTCAGTGAAGTATTCGGTTGCTTGCTCGTTTCCGTTTTGTACACTGCCAACCATTTGTATTAGTGAAAACAAACTGAAGAGCAGCTGCCTGCCCTTGGGACAGATGGCAGAGAAGGAGAGTCTTCCCAGTTCGTGTGGGCGACTGTTGTGCAGCTTTGCATTGCATGTGACCTGATATCAGTGTGAATTTGACCTTCCACATCTGAGGCACTTTAATTCAGCCAAACACTTCTCGCAGGGCACCCCCTCCTTGTGAGGCGAGCATGCTGCCCTGCAGCAAACCTGGCCCTGCGACCCATGCCTGCTGGCAGACATCCGTCTGCTGCACTGCAATCCTTGGTCTGCTGAGGACAACTCTCCCCGTGACGTTTAGCCGCAATTTTGTTCCTATTTTCTCCCCTCTTTCTAAGGAAAGAGGATGCTATTTATTCCCTACATCTCCAGGAATACACAGTGTGGACTAAAGGGCCTGCCCTTGCAAGTGCAGTCGAGACTGTAAGCACTTTCCAGAAGCTAGCTACACCGCCAGAAGAGATCAGGGTCCCACTCTGGTCTAAGAAAGCAATGCAACCCCAAAACCCAGTCAACCGGGTGGAAAATTCCCATTGCCCCATGTGGGTCTTTTCTACAGCATACTCCAGCAGCATCTTGAGATCACAGGTGTGTGCACAGTTCTAGGTCTTAGCCTTGGATGTGACAATACTCAATACAGATCTCTCCTGGAAACCTCCTATGCAGCACAACGCTTCAGTGGACTTACCTTGATTGGAGAGTACCACTTCCGAGGGGAGGAAGGCCTGCGCATGTTGCTTGCAAGGTTCCTGGGTTCAGGGAACTCATATTCCTGTTCTGGCATCTTGACTCTGGCATTCTTGGCTTTCTCTAACTTAGCACCTTCTTCCGTGGAGCCCTTTTCTCCCCAGCGCACCTGAAAAAGATGGCATCCAGACATATTACAATAGTAGTTGCTGCACAGAGTTACATCCCTGCTGTAATAATTAGGTCCTGATTGATATTTTCCCAGCGTCCAAATCCAAGGTGAAGAGCAAGCCACAGGCTGTGAAGCTGGTTTCTAGACTAGAGCCCAAACTTTAAACTTCTTCTTTGTGCTTAGCTGTGGGGGGTGGGGGGGTGGAAGATTTTCAGAAAGACTAAACACATTGCCTCGTAATTTGTATGGCAACATTGCCCCTGTATCCCAGGCATGGACCAGGATCTTACTGTACTAGAAGATGGTCCCAAACTTCAGGAATCTGTGTTTGCCTCTCAAATATTCCTATATAAAAATGATCTAGGCTCAGATGTACCAAAAAAGCTTAAAGACGTTTGTGCCTACCTCTGAGTTTCTTTCTGGGTAAATTGCAGGGGGATATCACAGCTCAGTTCACAAATAAGAACTTCCGATACATGAACTGGTATCTAATTACCTCCATTCGTTTGATGCCACCAACTCCTCGCCCACCATAATAAGAGGCATCTACTGTTGGCCATTTCTTCTTTGGAAGGCCATCATCATCTTCCTCCTACAAAACAGCAGGGAAGGAGTTGCACTGTTAGGGAGCATGCTAGAGATGGAAAGGAATAAACAGTCACAGGCTACGTGCTCCCTTGAGCCTGCTAGAGCCAGTGCAACCAAGGTTCTGGTCTCTCACTGCTTGTTTTCCAGAGGATGTACACTCATGAAAAGAAAATGTTTCATGATATAAACACCACCACTTAAAAGGTACAGTCCAGCTCCAGCAAGAACGTGATTTTTTTTCTTTTTTCTTTTTTTTCTTTTTTTTTTTTTTTAGAGTTGTTTTTGTTTTTTTTTTTTTAGAAGACTGTCTTTCATCATCTTTAAATTCAAGGAAGTAAATTGTTTCCAAGTTGCAGAATCTGTCTTTTGGCTGCAAGGCTGGTTGATATGCTAGCCATGAGTGATGGTAGCAGGGACTTAACCTCTTTGCCACCCCTTCACTTATGCCTGTGACTAGGGAGAGAAGAGCTGTTGCTCTGAGGAGTATTCCCTGACTCATGGCTTCCCATGGTGGAAGAACCCTCCAGGACCCAGAGAAATCATCGTGTTGTAGTTCAGATTGTCAAATACGCTCCTGAGTGAAGGCAAATTAGGAGTACACTTGGAAACAACCCCTGCGTGAATGCCCAATGCAGAGATGAGTATTTTTGAGATGAGCTGGCCAAATGTAACAGGATGGAAAAGTCTAATGGAAAAGTTACAAGAATGGAATTAACTCTTATAATAAGCTTCTCCCTCTGCTAGGGAGGCTGCCCATGGAGTCCATGTGGCTTCAGCGATTTTTGTGGGCTTATGCCAGCAGAAAGTCAGGCCCTGTGTGAAAAATGAGAATTAAATTCTGTACAAATTTGGACGTGTTCTCCCCTTACATACTGCAGGCAGAAATCTATGGGACACCACCATACATGAAGCTAAACGCATTCAGGACTGTGGCCTTCACGATGACATTCAGATACAGCTAAATTAACAAATCAAGAAAAATCTCCTTAAGTTTATTTAAGAGTCTAGCTAAAGTTCTAGCAAGTGTATTCAACATTCTTTGTTGCATTATATAACAACTCTACATACGCCCTGACCTATATAGTGCCTTTCTCTTTAATTTCTACAGTTCAGGCTGTGAACTGGCAAAGGAGAAAAGCAGAGTTTGTCAAAAACGTGAAGTATTTCCTGTGAAAAATGTGGAGAGAAATGAAAAATGGTCTCTCTCTTTTTTCTTTCTTTAATTTTTCACAGGGATTTGGCAAAAGTCCAAAACTTAGGAGCTTTCCAAAACGGGAAAAGCCAAAAAATACTTTGAAACTGAACTCCCCAGTAGAAAAACTGGGGGGCAAAATCCAAGACAAACTATGCTTTTTGTGTCAAACAAAAGCATTTCTGTTTTTCAAAACACACATAAATTCAGCTGCAAAATTTGTCCTGATCTAAAGGAAGAGTGAACAACTGAGTCAAATACAAGATTCCTCTCCTTCATAGCTGACCTCTTTCTCTCGCTCTGGTTAGAGCTGCTGAGGCTCTTTGCTGCAACTTAAGAACTTAATATCTCTGCATGAAGTTTTCCATGAGGACTTTTTAAAAAAATGGGAATCAAAGCCATCTAAATATTTTCCTTCAGCAATTCTCTTTCTCTCTTCAGTTTAGCACAGACTGGACTTCTCACAACAGGAAATACCAAGGTTTAGGAAATCTTCCCCACAAGCCCTTAAAAGCCCTGCAAGTCACTTCGATCTAAGATAGGAGTGTTTCTGCCAGAACAACAGAAACAGCACACGCACCAAAAGACAACAGCGGACACTTGAAAAACAAAGGAGTCACAAGCCTTCTTCAGGATGAGTCTGTTTACATGTTTTGAAGGGCATGGGAGGTTTTGCAATACAAGCAAAAAAAAAAAACAAAACACTCCACCCGACAGTGAAGTCCTACACACTTGGCAAACGTGCTCACAACACACGTGAGCGGCTAAAGGAAAGCGACTCGAAAACTTGGGGGTCAGAGTAGGGAGGAAGCAGGAAAAAGAGAAGGAAGAGGCATACAATCCCCATGCCCAGCATCCTAGCTCACTGCCCCGTTCACAAGATCTGAGCCAACAAAACAGGGCTGAATTCTCACATCCTGGCTCAGTTTTGCCCATATTTTTTTTAGATTTTGCTGCAATGGGGTTTTTGCCTGAGGAAGAGCTGCAGAAGGAACTTCAGCTCTGACCCAGCAGCAGGATAAAAAACAGCCCCAGAAAATTTAAGTGCATTTAAGGATGCTGGGAATTGACTGTACAGAACTTGACATTTTTCCACCCCCAAAATCTGCTTTAGATGGAGCTAGAGTTTCTTTTAAAAAATAAGAAGCAGCAGAACAGAGCTACATTTCACAGTCAGAGATCCAGATTCATAACTGCTGGATTTCAGAAAACAAAGATCTGTGTTTATCTCGGAGTCCATGCCGGGCTCTGTATGCTTTGACCCTGACCTGAGGGAACCTCATCTGTGGGTAACACAAGGATAATTCAGGCTCCACTACGGACATCTGAACCACTTTGGGTAAGAATTCAAACTAAATTTGGCTAGATATTGAAAAAGTTTGGACAACTTCACCCTCTCCCCACCCTTATAATTATTTTCACAGTTGTCTCTGCAATGCCTGACTCTTGTTAGAATTTAGCATTTATAGAGAGCTTTGCCTGCACAAAGTGCTATAAGCCATGGGACAATCATTCCTCTGAGCAAGAGATGTTACCATCTAACTCTACAGCTGAGGAAACATGGAGCTGAATACACTGTCCTCAAGGCTTCTGGCCCCTTACTGCCTCCTTTTTCTCCCAATGCTGGACTCATTTCCAGATCGCATGGCCAGCTCCCAGACGGAGAGGCACTGTTACATTCGAGGACACCTTGCTGGGTTCTCCAGAAACATCTCCTCCCTGCTTGGTACATTATACTCTGCCAGGCGTCTAAATTGCAACTGCATAAACTCATTGCTTTGGTTTTTCTCATATCTTCACCTGTCACTGGCCCAAGACTGCAAATTATCATCAGAAAGCACTCACAGGTCACAAGCGCATCTAAGGCAAAAAGTTCTACAGGTGCTGTATTAAGAAGCAGCTGAAGATAGACCTCAACTCTCCTGAGGTACCAAAAATCCACATATAAACTTCTCCTTGAGACAAATGCTCTGAAAACCAGCCTTTGTTGGTCTCACTGATCACAGAAACTCCTCATTTGTCTATGGTACAAATTCTTACAGATCCTGCCTGAAGTTGTACCCTCCAAGCGCAAAGCACTGCATGCGCACAGTTAAGAGAGAACCCCTGTTTTGATGAAGACCAAGAAGAAAGGATGTCGAGTTATTCCCACTCTATAGCTCAGACACTGAGCTACAGAAAAATGAAATAAGGTCTTATAAGGTCAAGGTAATCAACACTGTTGCTCCCATTGCAACTGCGATGTGATTAAACCCAACTTTCACAGCCTCTGCACTAATAGACTTTGCTGTGCTGGGCCATTTCACGTGAAATTTGACTATGAAACTCCACACCTTCACGGTGTAATACCTACACCTCATCTGTTGCCAATAACATCCCAAATCTTTTTCTCTTAAATGGTTGTCTCTTGAAAGGTTCCTTTCTTCCTCCTCCCATATTTCCGCAACTCGCTGTAAAAGGGAAGCAAAAGGGAAGGGAAAAGAGCTGGCATACCACTGTGACCTGGCTTTGTTTCAGGAATAACAGAATACATTTTCTGCCTTGGCGTCTACAAAACAATCCTATCAGATCCTTTCCCTGGAGCTTATTTTGCTACCTCCCCAGCAAGGCTTTTCAGGAAGAGAGAGGAAAACCATTTGGAAAAGATTAAAAAGCACCAACAAGTGAGGGAGCAAGCAGCTCCCCAAGCAGGTGAATCTCTTTTAGCCATTCTCTGGCCTCATGAATGTTCAGTTATGGGAGAAAAATTAGTTCACAAAGATCAAAGTGGTTCAAGGTGGTTTCATCTGTTGGCTTAACAATAGCTGCCATGCAGCAAGTTCAGTTCCTCCTTGTCATGCTGGCCTCCCATAACAATGACCTTCAGCATCTCGTGACTGTGCTGCTGAATGGTCCTTTCTCTCCAGGACTTTCTTGTGTGTGGTTGCTTTGGTGTATGTGGGTAAGATGACAACAGACATAAGAATTATCCAATTACAGGCTGGTTGGTGGCTTGGCTCTGGTGCCATGCTAGGGGTGACTGTAGAGCTTGGGCAACAGAGCAGCATGGAAAAAGTGGGTCTGAGTGATGTAGAAAGGGCACACTCTGGTCATCTGGTAGATCTCCTGCCTAATTTTGCCAGACTTCAAGGAACTTTGTATCCCTGAATCCCTTCTGTGGGAGAAAGCGCTGCCATGGCAGAAAATGAAGATCCAGCAGTGTATTTTAGCATTGCCTGGTCTCTGTTTACATGGCAACGAAGCAATGGGAAGAGAGGTGCCTCTTAGGGACACTCTGGAGGGCTCCAGCTGATGCACCTTCTGACTGCAGTCAGAGTCTGTCCTCGTTCAGGACTGATTAGCAGCAGACCTCTGGCACGGGTCAGGTAGGGAATAGGAAATTGTTGGAAGCTGCAGAGCCCTGCAGTTTGGGGGTTTTTTCATGTAGAAGATGGGTTGCTGTAGTGAGAACCAGCTTCAAGCCTCATGGTAAGCTTCTGGTCTGAATTGAGTAAGAGTTGTTCAATAAGCCCAGCCTGAAAGTGATGGGACACACGAATAAAAGCAGCTGTATCTGCCTCCAGCAAGGCTAGAGGAAGCCTTCCTATCCACTGGAGGGACGAAAATGGTCCGATTGGCATTAACTCAGTCTTTCCTGGCTGTAAGTAAAACCATCTGTCCCTCTTCTGGACTTAACCTCCTTCAGTATCCTGCGTCATCTGAGGAGCACAGCGGTAAGTTGATGACATTTGCAATTCCTGAATGAATTAATTGGAATTTTCTAGCCAATAATGATTTCCTTCACCAACAGTGAGCATGTCTCCAATAGGTCTCAAAAGGCCTTTAGAGTTCAGTTCAATAAAACCTTTGGCAGGTTCTACAGCAATGCTACTTTTCCTTCATTGTTACAGTATAATGCATTCTCCTTGCAGCGCAAAGACATATGGGCCTCAGCTCCCAAATCTGCTGATGCAAGAATTCCTCTTGTCTTTTTTTTGCCAAGATTTTTGGGAGAAGAAAAAAAACACCTTACTGTAACTGTAATGCTGCTGCTTATGGGATTAGC